GAGTTACTAAGCTCGTAGGGGTGTCTTAACACCTAATGCCCTAAGACCAACTGGTCTGGGAGTCATTAGCTGAAAGCTCGTTACATGGGTTAAAGATGCATGATGTTTTTAAAGTATATGTATATAGAGTTAAAAAAAAAAAAGACAAAAATAGTAATCCCAACCCAAGGAAGTTAACCTTAAACATTAGAACAAAAATTTTGTTTTCTTCCAAGAAAAGCCCCATAATTATGTGTTGATACATTGAGCACAAAAGAAAGGTTTATTAATATCTTGTTAAGTGGTATTGAGCAGATATATAAATTTAATGAGAGTTTGTTTATCTGGATAGACTAATGGAAGTTAAATGATGAATACCTTGCTTTGTGGAATATACAAATTGTTTTTCTATTTTACGCTTTGATTACTAGGGACTAGTAATAAGCTGGTTGGGGGGTGTGATTAGTACTTAAAAGTGCATTTTTATCATGGTTTTATATCATCATTTTGCACTTGAAGTATCAATAACTCCTTAACTAAAATATGTTTTATAATAATGTATCTAATAATATAAGATACCTTTAATTTGTGGTAAATGTCTATTTTTAATGCAGGTCTATCACATAAATGAAAGGATTGATTGATGACTTGAAGAACTTAAATTGCATGGATAAAGAGATGGTCAAACTTAGAGAAGAGATGTCGGTGCAATCCAAACCGGAACACTGTTCGGTAATTGGGTCATATCTAGAGCTATATATCTCAGATTTAGGTCCAATTTATATGGATGGAAAGGTAAGACATAGGCCTACAACTTTCATATGGAGCCCAAGATCTAAAAAGGCCATTATCAAGTCCAAATTGTAGAAACAACAAAGAAGCCCGAATCTGTCTTCCAGCCCGAGCACTGTTCGGTATTTTGGCCATATCTGGAGTTCTAGAAGTCCAAATGAGCTGAATTTTTTACACAAGAAAGCTGAGACAATTGCCTACAACTTTCATGTTTGCACCTGGCTCCAGTTTTGACGTTATCAATGACGTTTTGGGCAGACAAGAGAAGATAAGGATTGTCACCAAGTCAAAAGTTGGCCACCCACTTATCAATTAGTCATCAAATCAATAGTTCTCAATTTTGGCCTATAAAAGGAGGCATTTGCCATGCATTTAGGCATCTTGGTTTCCAGATCAAGATCATTCTCTTCCTTTCTCTCTTTGTATTTTTTATGCTTTGTTTTCATTAATATTAAGTTTATGCCTTTCATTTCCTTTCCTTTACTTAGTTAACTTTTATGTTCTTATTTTGTTTATCTATTTTGCTTTCTTTCATTATGTCTAGCTAAGTTAGTTATGTCAAGGTGAAAAGGTTACACTAATGGTGTAAGAATAAGTATAGTGTAAACTTAATATGGACTTTAATGTTTGATACTAACATGTTTTATATTTGTTATCTTGTTCACTCTTTAATACTTTGCTTGTTAAATGATTAATCTTGATTTATGTTGTATAACACTTGGTACAACAAATGCTTGGCACTTTCATAGCCCATAATGTATGGTATAACCGACACCTGAGCTATGAAAGGAACTTGATTTGTTGTTAACATAAGTTATAATCATGAATGTTTGACGAGATTTACAAGTATTAGCATTAATTGAATAAGATGACTAATGTAATCATGTTAACAATATATAATCTGATTGGAACCTCCTTTGTGTGTGGTTTCCAATTCAATAATAAGAGTTTATACTATACTTGTTTGATATACCATTAGTGGAACCTCTAACCTTGACATTTGTTATTATTATTGTTTAATCCTTACATTAATATTTCATCTCTAAGTTCTCATCATCATCATCTTCTTCTTCTTCTCTTTCTTTATTATTATTATTACTACTACTACTACTATTATTATTAGTATTATTATTGTTTCTATTATTATTGTTGTTGTTTATAATTATTTTTTATAATTGTTGTTTATAATTTGTATAATTAACCTCCCTGTGGTTCGACCCTGGTCTTGCCGGGTTATTTATTACTTCGACACTCCTGCACTTGGGAGAAGACATCAATCTTTTAGTCGTGTCAGTGTCATCCTATATTAACTTGCTAAATTTATGGTTTAAGTCATTAAATTGGGATAATTCGATAGAAAAAAAAACAAGCTCTTTTTTTTGAAAAAAAAAATCATTGTTAAATGATGAGAGCTGAAAACAAATTATGTTAAAAAAAAAACTATAAACTCGGGTTAAATTTTTAAACATGTGACCTGAGTTATTAGATTAAAAGCACCCCCATCAAGAAAAACCAAAAAGCTCAATTCTCAACAAATTAAATGTTAAAGGATGAAAGTAGAAAAATAATTTCTATTTCTTAGCCAACTTCGTTACAATGAAAAAACCAATGTAAAAAGACAAGTGTGCTTATGGATGTCAGTTTTTATTTTAAGGATATTTTGATCGTTTTAGTATGCTTTCAAAATGAGAAAAAGACTTTCTTACCCCTTAACTATTTAATATTGACTAATGAGCCTTTTACAAAGACTAAATTACCCCTAATTGCTAGTTTAAAGATTTTTTTTTTGTGAGAAGAGCACAACTATTATTACACTTTACTAGTGAAGAGTGCTCTTGAATCTAGATAAATAGTATTTTTAAAAAGGGTTTTAGCTTTTGTAAATATTAATAGTTCTACTAGGTCTAAAATTTTAGGTGATTCAAATAAATTACTTAGAAATATAAATGAGGTAAAATGCAATTTGAAAAATCAAATAGTTATTTTAGAACAAAGAACTTAATTTTTTTAAATAATTCAAAAAATTCTATGAAATAACATTTTTTAGTTTTGAATTTTTGAAATGCTCAACCTTCTTATTTATTTTGTGTTGAAATAAGTTTTAGTGTGTGTTTAGTATTATAGTTTATAATGCTTTAAAAATTTTTTCAATTAAAAACATATTAAAATAATTGTTTTAAGATTTTTTTATTTGATATTTTTTAAAATCAAAAATATTTTTTAAAATATTTTGAAAAATAAATTGAATCATATTATTAAACACTTTGGGAAAGAAACTCTAAAGTTGGATGTGGCAATGAATAAAAAGAAAAAGAGTAGTTGGTTGAAAGTTTTTATTAGTGGGCTTGTTTAGTTTTCCACTTGTGAATTCTTAAATTATTACTAAGTTGCTTTAAATGATAAACGAGCATCATTCTTTCTTTGTTCACTCAATAACTGGCCGACCCTAAATGCGACCTGGATTAAAAAAACCTTAAACATCAAAAAATGTCTTTAACACAGGAATTTTTTTAATCTTTTAAGTTGATTTTTTACTTAATCTGGTTTCAAATCAAACTTAGAGATTATTTTAATATGACACAATTAATTTAATGAGTTCAATGAAAATCTAAATAACTAATAAAAAGCGTAATTTTATTTAAGAAAATATTATATGACATATTTTTAAAAAAATATTGAGATAATAACATATTGAATTGACCTGAATTAATCCACCAAACTCACTACCTATATAATATAGACACCACAAAATTTAATAACTTTCTTTTTTATAAAAGTATTTTTATATTTAATTATATAATAAAAAAATACTCAAAATAATTAAACATCAATCCAATATTGAGATGTTTATTTGAGATACTGATAACTTTATAAAAAATAAATTAAAATAAATTATAACTTATAATTCCTAACATACTTTTTTTTTAATTGATAGATAGAAATATATTATTTATGCAAATGTTTTACATCAACTATCATTTTTATTTTAAATGTTTTTATTCATTTTATTTTGTTGGCTAATTGTTATTCCCAATAATAAAGTATTTCTATTTTCATAAAGAGTTTATATAAATATAGCTAATTCATATTTTATATAAATATAGCTAATTCATATAAAATATAAGAGAAAATAAATTCAAACTAATCTCCTTGTAAAATCACGCAACTAAAAAATCAACAACTATTTTAAAAATAAAGCTAAACTAATAGGAACAATTAATGAAAAATGATGAAAAAAATAAAGATATTAGGTATTAATATGCTAGTTCTATATATCTAATTTAAATAAATTAAAAAAGTTTGTATTTTTTTTATTTGCATCTAGAATGGATGGTATGATCATCCATTTATGGGGTTGGGAGCCTCCTACCATCGCTATAATGGTTAAAAAAAATTAAAAAATAAGCTTTTTAATTTATTTTCACATCAAAACACTCAATAAATAATATAAAAACATCTATAAACCATTCAAAAAACTCCAAATCAGTAAAAAATAATAAAAAGCAACCAAATTAAAAAAGTCTAAACAGGCCTAATTTACTTTTTTATTATTTATACAAAAACTTCCATGGTTATTTTTTCATATCTAATAGAATTTATTAATACCAAACATGTCGAGTTTTGTAATTGAAAAGTGATTATCCTTCAATTTTCCTTTTTTTTTCATTGTTTTCATAGTATTTTTTGTCTCCTCTCTGACTTGACTTAAATGATAAGAAAATAAATTTTAGCAATTAAAATTGCATAGAATAAGTAAAAGGAAAGTTGGTGGACTAAACAAAGTTTTTCTAGTAAATTTAAGATTGACCATGTATTGTCTTTTTATTTTACACTCTAGTCCTCTTTTATTGAATTTTTTTTCTTTCATTAACAAATTTTAATAGATTAATCAATTGAAAAAGTAAGGATAAAAATAAAAAAAATTAGCTACTATAAATTACTACAGTATTTTAACTAAATATTTTAGTATATTTTGTAATGTATTGATGCCAATTTTTTCTCTGTATTTTAAGAGATCGTATAATATTATAGTAGCAATTGTTTTTTTTTTTAAATTATGCTTGAAAATAAATTGAAATAATATATATCTTGTATTTTTTAAAATTTAATTTTTATTAACATATTAAAACTATTTAAAAAATAATTTGAGGTAAAAAAATAAAAGTTCTTTAATAAAGTTTTTGAAACATAAAACTAGCATGTTAAGTAGAAATATTCAGTGCCGACTGTGGACCAACTTTTTGCCAAACGAAGAACAAAGAATACACAAGGTGGACCAATATGTCAATCCGCGAAGCAATCATGGTTATCTTCATCAAATCAAATCTCAGAACGTTTCATTGCCAGCAGACACGCAATGGCATCTAATTTCCCCTTCCTAGTCAACAAACAAGTGGGAAAAGACAGGAACCTAGAAAACAAAAACCTCAAACAATATTATTGATGGCGGAGCCCAGTAACCCTTCTCTAGAAGTCTCTGAAGTATCGCCTGCCGCCGCGGCCGGTCTTCTATTACTCACCGCAAGAGGAGGATCAATACTTGAACGACAAAGCGGGCAATCTGAGTGGGAATACAGCCACATATCTATACAAGGAGCATGGAACAAGTGCTTACACCTTGGCAATTGCCTAACCTCTTCTCCCTCTTCAAAAGCCGATAAGCAAACAGCACATTCATAGTCACTTCCCTGATCTTGGTCACCGCCTGTTTTTCCCTTTTTGTACTTGAAACTAGACGGCAAGTTGCTGTTGGAGTTTTCAAAACTCTGGCTTGCTGTTACCTCTATAAACACATTTGGTCCCTGCCCTGATCGGCCTCCACGTTGAGCGCACCACTTGATGATTATAAGGTTGTAAGCAGCTAGCACTATAGCAGCTGTGCCGACAACCACTAGGCCATAATATAACATCGGCAGATTGGATTTGTGTGGAGGAGGAGGAGGAGGAGACTCAAATAAAGGGCTTGTAATATTATTATCTACCATATTTCTTGAGAATGGAGTTTTGGGATATTTAGATAGCATTTTAGCAATATAAGAATGTAGGGATGTCCCTATCCAATTTTCCGTCCTTGCCTATGTTTGTATAATATCATATAGGTAATCTAAAAGGCTTTGTTGTTGTGCAGTCATAGAAGAAAATAAAAATAAAAATGGTTATAAGAATCTATGGGCCATTGAATGAAAGAAGACAAAAGAACGTACAATCAGGAGACAATGAAGGAGATCGACTGAATTTTTAGATAACAGAGCTTCATTAGTTTGGCTATCTGTTCATTACATCTGGACAACAAGATAAAATGATTCCTACTCCTAATCTAAGCCTTAGACTAAAGTAATCTTAAGTAACATTTGCATATTATAGCAGTCGAGAGATCACACTCCGTACGTCCCCTATGAAGACAACGCTTCTTCTTTAACTAGTGAAAGAAAAAAAGAAAAGAAAAAATCTTTCTTCTTCTTCTTGTTTTTGTTTTTAAAACCAACACTATGTTTCCAACATTTGCATTGCAGGGTGTATCACCAAAACTATATAACTGAAATGTGTTTTTATATGTACATATATAAATCAAGGTAGTCTATTATATTATGTTTTGATTAGAATAGTCGGTACACTTTATACTTTATATTATTTCAAAAAATAAAATAAATTTCATTTCACTCGTAATCTTAAATCATTTTAGATTTTTCACCCAAATTCTAATTGAGAAGTTTTGGGTTAACTTTGTTCATGACGCTTTGGATACTAATAACAATCACAAGTCACAACTATATGCATATGATATGATTGGTCATTTGTTGATCTTCTTCTTCTATGGTGTCATTTTGGTTATTAAAACAAGTTTATAGAGTTTGTGTGTTTTTTCAATGGTTTTCTCTTGGATGATTGGCAAATTATTGGTAAGAGATTTGAGCTTTTGCAATTTGTTGGAGTGATTTTCTTGATTGTTTTCAAGAATTATGTCCTCATTGAATTTGTGTTTTGTGGAAAATATAGGTTTGTTTTGAATTCTGATTTTTGTTTGAGTTTATTGGAGAAAGATATAGATTTTAAAGGATACTAAATAGTGAGTTTGATAACTATAGTAGTTGCAATTTAAAAGACAATGAATGTTAGTGTTTTTATCAATAACACATATATACCTTTAGTGTAATCAATTAAACAACTATTATATTTTGTAGATTAGTAAACGTAAGATTTGATGAGAGGATGGATCTTGTATAGTTTTCTTTCTTTTCTTCTTTCTATTTTATTTTATTATTTAATCTAAGCTTAGTAAAAATGATCATGTATTGGAATATCTAGTTGATGCCTTTTTCTATATACCACCACTAGATTAGGATTCTTATTTTTATGTTAATAATGGAGATTATGCTTGATCTATATATCGTTTGTATTAAAATCTTTTGCTTTCTCAATATCTTGGAATTTTATTTGTGTTAAATTATTTTAATTTAAAGTTATTTTTAGTCTTGACTCTATAATATTAAGAAATGTTTTAAATTTTAAAATTATATTTAAAAGCTTGACATTATATTTGTATTGCATAATTTGAAGTTAATTTCTCCTTAGATTTCAATTGAAATCATGTATGTTGAATTAATATTTTGAATTATGCGCGCACACAGTACAAAAACTAGGAACAGAACACTGAAATGCTCTAAAACTAATTTTTTTCATTCCAATAAAAAGAATAGAACGCCAAACAAAATGGAATTAAAAACCTTGGAATAGACTAGATTTTTGGCTTATGTTATGCCATAGATCAAAACATTTTCTAAAATGTACTCAAAAGTGTAAAGGCGTTGCACAATTGTATTTTTAAGTTAACAAAAAAATTCAATCATGAACTCAAAATCTGAAATATATTGGATAACACCCTTTTTAAATATTAAGACAGTGATACATTAAATGTAATATTGAGACTGTTAAATACTGAATTGACGTAGGTCAACCTTGTTAACTTGTATGACTCACGACCTAGATCATGAAATCGTGATAACTAATAGAAAGTAAATAAAGATAAATTAGTAATTTAAATTTCTAATCAGCCAAATATTGAAGGATAAAAAAAATTAACATAGGTCAGCCTTGTTAACTTATATAACTTACGACCTAGATTATGAGATTGTGATAACTAATAGAAAGTAAATGGAGATAAATTAGTAATTTCAATTCCTAATTAACCAAGTATTGAAAGATAAAAACAATCAATTTTAAAAAGAAAAAAAAAGTGATTCCATTCAACCTGAATAAACTCGTCAAACCTGCAATTCATATCATGAGAATGAAATTCCTTATAGAAAGCAAATTGAAAGAAGAATATCAAGCTCAATTCTTAAATAACTCATTGTTGAAGAATAAATTTTAAAAAATTAAAAAAAAAACAACACGTGTCACCTCAAGTTAACTTGTTAAACCCATATACTAGATCATGAGCTTTGGATAACTTCCTAAAAAGCAAGTTAGAAAACATTATGAAGTCCAATTCTCAACCACCTAAATATTAAAAGCTAAAATTAGAAAAAATATGAATTTAAAAAAAATAAAAAAAATACTTGAGTCAACTTGGGTTAGCATTCCAAATCCGCAAACCAAGCCATGAAACCTTAATCATCCTATAGAAAGAAAAAAAAATCATGAACTTAAAATCTAATGCATATTGTATAACATAGTTTTTATATATTGAATTGGTGACATATTGGATGATATATTTCATAAAAAAATTAAGACGATGACATATCATTTCAATTTAGGTCAACTCTAGTTAACTTGTAAAATCAACAACCTTGGTTAATAAGACTGGTAACCCCCGTAACATCTTAAAAATTTAAATGCATTTATAATGATTTAATAATAACATAACATGTAATTAGAGTGAGTTTTTTTTATCACACAGTCCATATAGTGTTATAATATTTTCTCTTAGTCCAATGTCTTGATATGATAAAAATATCAATTTTTTTTGCTTCAAGAGATTTGTCAGCTCATTGGAGTATCAAAGACAAAAGAAAGATTTTGAACGATGTGTAAAATTTTTATTGGGATGATCCTTACTTATTCAAATATTATCCTAATCAAATATTTCAAAAATTCATTCTTGATAATGAGGTAAGTAGTGTCATTAAACTTTGTCATTCTAAAGTATATGAGAGTTATTTCTTGTCAAAATAGATAACTGTAAAAATCTTTCAAAATGGATTTTATTGGCCCACTATATTCAAGGACTCACATGCATTTTATAAAACTTGTGAAAATTGTCAAAAGTCAGGATTTATTTTAAAACATAAAGAATCTTTAGATAATCTTTTATTGATTTTTGAGACATATCTTAGGGAAGATGTGCATTGTGCATCTCATGATTTATGACCTCATTTTCATAAAGAACATACTTGACATAGTTTTAGGAATCTGACTCAAAAAGACCATATTTGCTAGTTTTTAAAAAAACTGGATGGGAAGCCTATCCCTGACCCATAGAGGATGTTTAAACCGTTCTTGGACGTAAAACCAAGGAAAAATATGAGCCATAATCACAATTGCGATTTGAGTCTTAGTTTGTAAAAACTTGTGTCTTTTGGTTTTATTAATAGCATAATATTTGTGTTTTGTTGTTTCTTATATTTGTTTAAGTATGTTTCAGGTTTGTCAGTGTTCGGTGTTTCACGTGATGTTTTCTATACTCTATCTTCCTACCTAAGGATATTGAGGACAATGTCTTGTTTTGGTTGGGGAGAGAGGGTAATAATTGATATTAAAAAAAAACTAGAGGGTAGCAGTTGATATTAAAAAAAAACTAACTGTGTTTTTTTTTTTATATAAAGCATTTGTAAATTGTTGTTACTAAGATGACAAAGTAAGAAGGAATTTTATTAACTCTTGAGACGTAACTTGGTTAACATTTTACAATGTTTGTTTGCAATATTCATAACAAGGTTTATCATAATACTTCTTGAAATATTAAGGTTTATAAACTCTTGCATTGTTATCACTTAATTCTATTCATATACTTATTTAACATGTATTGTTAAACCTTAATTTTCACACATACACTTTAATATATGATTGTGTGTTGCATATTGGATTATTATATTATTTATGTACTTTTATTAAAGGTAACAACTAAAAAAAAGTGATTGTATATAATTTGAAAAAAAATAAAATAAAAGGCAAATAATAATAATAATAATAAAAATATAGATAAGTTTGGTTTGGTAGCCTCCCTGACACAACTAAAAGATTGATGTCTTCTCCCAAGTGCAGGAGTGTCGAAGTAATAAATAACCCGGCAAGACCGGGGTCGAACCACAGGAAGGTTATTTGTATAAATTATAAATAACAATAATACAACAACAATAACAATAACAATAACAACAACATGTATATTAATAATAATAATAATAATAATAATAATAATAATAGTAATAATAATAATTGGATTTGAGCCTTCATTTGTGAATTTTTGTGTCTTTTGGTTTTATTATTATGTTTTGTTATTTCTTATTTTTGTTTCAGTGTGTTTCAGGTTTTGTCAGTGTTCGTTATTTCAGGTGATATCTTTTATACTCTATCTTTCTACCTTAGAACATTGAGGACAATGTCTCGTTTTGGTTGGGGGGAGAGGGTAGTAGTTGATAAAAAAAAATTGTTTTTCATTTCATAAAGCATGTGCATAATTGTTGTTACTAGGATGGCAGAGTAAAGGAGTTCTTTTGTTAAAGTGACTCTTGAGACGCATCTTAGTAACCATTCTTAACAAGGTCTATTATAATACTTCCTGAAATATTCAGGTTTACAAACTCTCGTATTGTTACCACTTAATTCTGCTCATATACTTATTTAACATGTATTTTTAAACCTTAATTTACACACACACACTTTAACATATGATTGTGGGTTGCATATTGGATTATTACATTATTTATGTTCTTTTGTTAAAGGTAACAACTAAGGGAAAGGGATTGTATATAATTAAAAAAAAACATGAAAAAAAAAAGAAAGAAAAAAAAAAGAAAAAAAGACAAAAAAATGATGATAATAAAAATGTAGATCAGTTTGGTTTCGTAGCCTCCCTAACCTAAGCAATTAAGCCCGAAGGGGTGTTTTAACACCTAATACCCTAAAGTCAACTGACTTGGGAGCTATTGGTCGAACGTTTGTTATATCGGTTGAGGAGAAAAGCTTAAGGGAATCAAATATTGCACTATCTACGTATTAATATATGCAACTCGAGTTACTAAGCTTGTAGGGGTGTC